CCCCAAAACCCCAAAACCCCAAAACCCCAAAACCCCATTGGCTAAAATCAAAATTGATCGATAAATTCTAATTTTACGAATAATTAAAATCCAAAATGGAAGAGAGTAAAGCTCTATCCAGCGAGGAAGGTAAGCCTAGGCTGTAAAAACCTCTTTAGGCAAAACTTTCTACTTCGCTAGTGAATCTGTAGGTGAAGGGCACCCTGATAAACTCTGAGACCAGATCTCAGACGCCCTAGTTGATGCTTGTATCGAAGTTGACCCCGACTCCATCCTAGGCATGGAAGCTGTCATGAAGGGAGACTTGGTCGTCCTCCTCGGTGAGATCAGTATGAAGGATAGAGAGAAGGTAGATGCCCCTCAAATCGCCAGAGATGTCATCAAAGAAGTCGGCTATGACTGCCAAGAAACTGGTCTTGACTATCAAACTTGCAGAATTGTTACCAAAATTCCAATGCAATCTAAAGAAATCACGGATGCTATTCGTGATAGGAAAGCTAAGAAGGAAGACCTTGGAGCTGGTGATCAAGGAATGATGTTTGGATATGCTACTGACGAGTCTGGAGATGATAGCTTCCACCCTCTTTCACACCTCTTTGCAAATAGGATTACACACAAATTGTGTGAGCTTCGTAAATCAGGAGACATCGAATGGTTGATGCCTGACTGCAAATCACAGGTCTGTATGAAATACAAAACTGAGGGGACTACAGTTGAGCCTGTCAGTGTACATTACGTCATTGTTTCTACTCAGCATAAACTTGGGATTGACTCAAAAGAAATTGAAGCAACAGTTATCGAAAAGGTAAAGAACGCTTTTTGAATATTCTCTGGTCAGATAATTTACAAATTTAGGTAATCAAGCCAATCATTGAAGACAAATACCTAACTGAAGAAACCAAGTTCATTATCAACCCAAGTGGGTCTTTTGTGGTTGGAGGACCTCAAGCTGTATCAGGACTCACAGGGAGAAAAATCATCTCTGACACTTATGGAGGGTGGGCGTCTCATGGAGGTGGCTGCTTTTCAGGAAAAGATCCCTCAAAAATTGATAGAACAGCCTCCTACTATGCAAGATATGTTGCAAAGTCTCTTGTAGCTTCAGGACTTGCAAAAAGAGTGATGGTCGAACTCGCATATGCCATTAGTGTATCAGATCCACTCTGTGTTCATGTTACATCTTATGGGACTGTTAAGGAAGGCTACACTGATGAGGACCTCCTTGAAGTTACCAAGAATAATTTTAATTTCCGACCATACCAGATGATTGAGGAACTTAAGATGAGAAGACCTATTTTCAAGAAGACAACTGTCTTTGGTCATTTTGGAAGAAATGACCCAGATTTTCAATGGGAGTGCCCAAAGAAACTTGAATTCCCAGAAAAAGAGTAATTCAAAGGCTCTAGCAATAAGAAAATTGAATAACATTTGTGCAAAGCAGATTCAATAATCTTTAATATTTAGGGGTTTTGGGGTTTTGGGGTTTTGGGGTTTTGGGG